AATCTACCATGTCCCCAAAAATCCACCTAAAGTATGGACCATTCCATCAAACTTCTAAAAAGGTAGAATAAACTTTTTTCCACTTGGGGGTGGCACTCAGTTCTTGGTTCACAAAAATACAACAATGAAGGATGTTCTCTGGATCAACGCATTGAAGGTAAAAGGAGATTGGGCATGACAGAATTCACTGTTGATGTTCTTCTATAAGGAGCATCTCTCACCATTTCAGTGTAAAAGATCTGATGCTGTTACCAACATAATTCTTTTCCATATCAAGTAATAAACACATTTGACTATCTTGACACAAAGACCTGCCATCGGAATTCCAATCTACAGTTTCCAGTTTCAAAATTTTATTTCCCCCTCCACCCTCTACCCTCTCACACACATACTTGTGCTATTAGTATGCAAATGTAGAGTAAAGTTGTTAAATATAAGGTGAAATTGCCTTCAACCATAGAGCAGTCATGTTTATTCCTTCAGAATATTGCTAGAATTTTCCCAATACAATAGAAGAGAAGATTTAATCTTTTTAATAATGCTCGTTGTTATAAAAATAAAAGAGATTATAACTCTGACTGTGTATACTCAATGCTAATAAAAAAGGTGAGGATGATTAGAATTGGTAGAAAGATGTTGAATTTACTTAATTAAATTTCTTCAAGGAAAAGCATCAAGTGAATAAGAGAAATAAGATTCTTTTGGTCACATCTTTTTTGTGTGGAATACAATCAAAAGAGAAAGGACTAATATCTCAGACACTCTTAGATCTGACCAAAGCATATGTGGGATAAATTGTTTCTGGTCCGTCAGTTGAAAGAGTTAACTCAAACATCGAAGAGTTAATCCACTGAAATTTGCTGCTCTTTCTTTTTGAAAAGATACCATGCTCCTACATGGGACAAGCTGCTGAGCAAAGAGATAGTTGACTTATTCAATGAGCATCATCAAAAGGTCATACTGTAATGTATAAGCATCTTAAACGGTGCTTTGGAAAACCTTGTACCTTTCACTTTCAAAACCATATGTACCTTTTATCTTCAAGAAGAAACCATGATATTGACCAGAATGAAGTTCATCAAGAAAATGCCCTAACTAAAAATTTTCTTTGTAATTACAATATTCTCTCTGTGTTGGTAGTAATAAAAATGGAAATGTCCATTAAATATTGCCTCTTTGGAGAAAAAAGGTGTTTATGGTGCATATAGAAGAGAAAGACGACAAACAGTTTTGTTCATGAACAATTACCACCTGATGCAATCAGAAGAAAAATATAAGAAACAAAGTGATAAGATCTTGCAATCATTGTTGGAAAAATACATCTCCTTTAATTACTGATTTTGGATAGATATTTGTTTTGTATATTCTTTTAGTGTCTTCTCCATTAGCTGGCCACCAAACGTTCTTCAAATGCTGAAATCTCTTATGATAATTCATCTTGTTCCAGTGGTTCAGCCTTGATGTGCTTTTCATTGATCAAGATAGCAACATACTTTAGCAGCATTGTCTTCGCATAAGACAATTGTGAAGATTAAGATCTCAAAGCAATTTCACTTTGGCAGCCAGAATCATTCTAATGACATAACTGTATTTCAGACAATTGCTTTTTCTCAGGGACTCACCTGAATCTAGGCTAAGAAATTAAACAATCTGCTACAAAGAAAAGTGAAAAATCTTTCAATCTGAAGAGTTGTGTGGATCAGTTGTGCGGTAAATGCTCCAACACTGGAAGTTTTTAAGAAGAGACTGGACAGCCATTTGTCCGAAATCGTATAGGGTTTCCTGCCTGAGCAGGAGGTTGGACTAGATGACCTCCAAGGTCCCTTCCAACTTTACTACTACTACTACTACTACTACTACTACTATTATTATTATTATATTATTATTATTATCCCTGAGTCCTGTGCACAAATTCCTCAGAAGTAAGAAGTTAAGCTGTATAACATAGCAAGGATTCTACTGTACAAACTTGGTTTTTTAAATTACACACCCAAAAGAGAGCCATGTGGCAAAACGATTTTCAGAATATTCTTTTCTTGCAGATTAATTCCATGTTTCTTGGCTCTGCACTTAGCACATGAGCTGAGCTGGAAATGAAGCATATCCATCTGGCGTGGTTACATTCTGTCTGCTATTTTCCACTCCATTTTGCTTTCAAAATGTTGTGAACAATTTTCGCCAGAAACTAAGTAGGAAGTATGTTTGCTTTGACTGAGTGGCTGATACCCAAATTAAAGTATGTTGGTAAAGAATTACAGGAGCATTTCATAATCTGATGTCCTGCTGATGGTTACAGGTTGAAGGAGGCTATCCATAGATTGATAATAATGATGGACAATAGTTGTATACTGTAAATAAGCCAAGAGATATTCACCAGCAAGAATTTATTGAGAACAAATCAACTCATCTTCATTTTCATTTGTGTTTTAAGCAGATGTAAACTGAGAAAATATTTGAAGCACTAGGACTACTATACTTTTTCTTTAAAAGAATCTATATGTATGTAAATACTTAGAAACAATATTGGTATATTAAAAATCCTCACATTAATTTGGGGTTTTTTTTGCTCATGTTCTGATGAGAGATTGCTGATTTCGTTTAAGAATCTATATATTGAATACTTAAAACAATACTAAAATAGGACTCTGAAGACAGAACAGAACATTATTAATTTCTAAATGATTTCTCCCAACCAAATTAAATAACTTTCTTTTACATTTACACTATAGTGAAATCTCTTTAAAAACTATTAAAGCTGAAAAGGACCAGCAACTACTGTTTAAGTATAGCAAAAAGCTATAATGCCAAATGAAGTAAACCTTTCTTATCATCTATAACAGAAATATACTGTGCATCTTTGAACCATTGCCAGTTCCTTTACATTAGTACAAGAGGTATATTTCAAAATGTGTAAAGTATTTCTGTCAGGGCTTATTCTCATATTATGTCTGCCAGTGCTGAGAATTAGATCTCCCTCAAGAAAGTTCCTCATAGATACTAGAATGTAAAAAAGATGTTGAGACTATAGAAAGAGTACAGAGAAAAGCAACAAAGATGATTAGGGGACTGGAGGCTAAAGCATACAAGGAACGGTTGCTGGAATTGGGCATGTCTAGTTTAATGAAGAGAAGGACGAGGGGGGACATGATAGCAGTATTCCAATATCTCAGGGGTTGCCACAAGGCAGAGGGAGTCAAGTTATTCTCTAAAGCACCTGAAGGCAGGACAAGAAGCAACAGATGGAAACTAATCAAGGAGAGAAACAACCTAGAACTAAGGAGAAACTTCTTGACAGTTAGAACAATTAACCAGTGGAACAACCTGCCTCCAGAAGCGGTGAATGCTCCAACACTGGAAGTTTTTAAGAAGAGACTGGACAGCCATTTGTCCAAAATGGTATAGGGTTTCCTGCGGTCCCTTCCAACTTTTTTTTTATTATTATTATTATTATTATTATTATTATTATTATTATTATTATTATTATTATTATTATTATTATTATTATTAATAATAATAATAATATAAAGTGCTTTCAAGACTCAAATGTAAATATCTTCCAATCATGATTATATAAACTGATAGGAAACCAATGCTTCCATATAAATGAGATTACATTTCTTAGATGCTTTCACAGTAGTGATCTCATGACTGCTCAAGGTTTTATTAATAAGATGGGTTAGAAAGGATCTTTGCTATCTTTTCTATGCTATCAATTTTACTGATGACTAAAAACCAGGAACCATATAGAAGCCATAACTCTTTAGTAGGCGCCGAGATCTTGATCACAAAGCAGGGCCTGCATAAAGGAATAGTAGTAGTAGTGTGGGATGGAAAAGCAGTAGCCAATGGGGTTGGCAGTGTGACAGTCATTCATTGGGGTTTGTTTTACCTGTTTCCACTGAGGTATTGGGGCATGGCGGCCCTGCTCTCGCTGTCGATAGGCGGGATGGCTGAGAGCACAGTCTTGATAAGGCTGGGCAGAACGTTGCATGCAGGTCATAACATGCCCAGGATGGTGGGCATTTCCAGAAAAGGCAAAAACAGAACTCACAAAGAAACCCACAAAGGGACAGGGTAGATATTGAACAGGGTGATTGGAAGACAGACACCAACGAGGGGGAAAAAAATGGAGTAAGGAAAAATTAGTTGGCAAACAAAAAAATAGAGAAATATTTTAAAATGGAAGGAAAAAAAAGGGAAGGAAGACAGAAACTTAGCCATGAGGAGGCCATCTGTCTCCTATTATTTAGACAAGTTATTTGAACAGGGTTTAGATTGGAAGTGAACTATCAGAGAAAAAAAAATCCTAAAATAATCACAGTACAGATGTTTTAATCCATTCTTCATGCCAACAGTATCTTTACCGGGTATCATTTGAAATTCTGGCATTCCATTTGCAGCACATTGCAAATTGGATATAATGCTCACTGGAAAAAGATACATCTCCTGCGGTGCTCAGTCAAGTTAAATAAACCCTCTAGGATTCCTGGGTGAAGCCAGTTATTTGAACCACTTTCTCAAGCAGAGAAGCTGGTTATATATTAATGATTCATTGCCACAGCTACTGAAAACTGTCTTCTGTATGTTGAACAGATGGCAATTCATCAAAGATTATTTTACAAAGGAGTTCCCTGAAGGCTACATTTAACTCCAGGATGAGCACAAAGTGGGGGCTCTCAAGCAGTAGCTTTCATGACCTGGGAACTTGATCAGGCCTCCAATCCCAAATTGTTTCTAGACACTGAGCAAAGAAATGGCAACTTGCCAGCATATCTCTGTATTCCAATACTGCTCTTTGACAGATTGGCATAAAACTCCACCAGAATTAAAAAGAGCTTCTTTATTCCTAGAATGTAAGAATAGCTTTTATAACTTGTTTGGCTACAGAGGGAGACTGCACACCATCCAATCAAATTCAGATGCCCCAAAGCAAGAAGATCCATCCTTTATCAAAGCATTGACTAAACCCCCAATGCATCCAATATGAGCTCCCTTCTCACCTGTCTCCGGAGGCCTGTGGACGGTACAGGGGCATTCTCCTCAAATTTGGCTAGCAGCTGGGTTGCCATGGACTTCACTTTATTCTGGTTCCCAATAGCAGCATCAATTCTTCTCTCGGTCAGAGCACTTACGAGGGTGGGCCTGTCTTCACGACAGCTTCTGGAAGTGTCCTCCTATAAATCAATGTCAAGTCTGGATTAAGAGATTCCTTTTGGGTGCACTTGAAAATTCCTCCACCCAATTCCAGTTCTGAGCATCATTATGAATTCTGAAACATAATTCTCGTTCTTGCCAGTTTGGTTTGCTCACCATACCTATTTTTCTCCAAGTTCAAAGTAGCTGAATTTTACCATCAAATTAAAAAAGAATCGGTATAGACAAAAGATTTATACGATCTGAAGAGAAACCAGAGTATAGAGTAGGCATAATTCCTCACTGTCAGAGAATATGCTGTGCATATAAAATATTTTAGGTCTAATGCACACATACTAGAAGGATCAGCTATTTGATAAAGCCTGAGGAGCAACAGCTTTCTCTGACAAGACTGAATCTGTGGCACATGTGTGGCTAGATAATCCCGTTATATTACATTTGGCTCATTAAATCATTTATTATCAAGCTTTCCCAATTATTACAATCAGTGATTATAAATCAGTGACTATAAATCAGCTGCTGCAAGATTACAGCACTGAAACATCTAAGCAGGTTTCAAAATTCCAAATTGTGGTGATTAGAGTGTTTGCTCTACAAGCAATAGTCCAGATTCTTTTCTTTTCATCTCTCTCCTCTGTAACTTTTGAGTGCCTTGTTCCAGATCCTCTTGCTAATTTGGGTGTAGAACTTTGATATCATTCTTTTTTTTGCAAACATTTTATTAATTTCAAGTTTTACAATCATAAGTACTTAATAAACAATTCAGTGTCTGGGTTCCTTTATCATTCAGTAGTATATATTAACTTTCATTCAAAATATCCAATACTACACCATCCAGTATTACCCTGGTCCTCTCTTCTTCCAATAATCATCATTTTTCCACACTATGCAAGTATAATTCTTGCTGCTATTAATATCTATACAATTAAATATAAAACATCTTTGTCACATGTTTCTAATGTTATACATAGTGTCAATAATATTAGTTTATAATATCTTCTCTAGCCAAAACATATATCAAATGTATTTGCAATCAGAGTTCCCTTATTCAATCCATATCCTGTTTTTTCTTTTTTCCCCCAATTTTAATTTCCCATCAATATTCAAAATAACTTTATCAATTATGATTTTTCTCATAATTAATTACATATAGGTAATTAAAAGCTTCCCTTATACCAACCCTCTTAGTATTTTCATTATTTCCCATCTTATAAAAAATTATGTTATCCTAGTTACAAATCACTTCCTTCTAATTTATAATGGTCCTTTTATTTCTAATAATTGTCTATTCTTTTAATCATATTCAAACATCCACTAGATGGTATAATGCCTCATCTAATTAGTCAGGACCTCTATTTTCTTCAGTCTTACTCTAGTTTTCTTCCTTTGCCAAATATCTTTGCAAATCAGTGCATTTAGGTCACCAAGTATTTCTTCCTCTGTTTTTGTATATATTATTTGGAATAAAAAAGACAATTTAATTAAAGTGTTTTTATAAAAACGTTTAGTCCATTTATATTCGTTAAACAGCCTCCATTTTCTTTCTCCTTCAGTTTCTTGTTCCCCAGTTTTCAGCATTTCTCCTAACAGTTCTGTCATCCATTCTATCAATTCTTCTTCCTTGTCCTCAAATATGTTCTGAAGTCTTGAAAAGTAAAATGTCTTTCCCATTTCCAGTGTTATATCTTCCAAATTTTTATTTATCTGTGCCTTTCTGATGGTTTCTTCTTTCGAATCCTCTATCTTTATGTCAGTTTCCTCTATTTTTTTCTTCTGGTTTCTGAGTTGGTAGTTCATTCTTTAGGGTCATTTTCTGAATGTTTTTTGCTTGTAAGTTTAAGGTGGAGAGTTGCTCATTTATGTTATTTAAATTATTTTTAGTCTCCTCATAATTTAAAACAATTGTTTCTTAAATTGATTTCAATATGGAAAGAATTTCTTTCTGAAGTCCATTTACATTTTCTTGTTGATTATACATGTTTCTTCCAAAGAGAAATAGTCCAGAAGCAACTTTCCCATTGTTCCTTAATATTTCTTGATCATTCTTGAAATTAAAAGTCAGTCAATATTTGTAATCCAGGCCGGCCAATTTAGAATGGTTTATTTTCTCCTTTATACAGATAAAAAGCCCAAGGATTTCCCCCCCCCCCCTTTCCCAGCAGTCTGCAAAAGTGAAAGTTTCCAGGAACAACAAAGAGCCTTATCTATGTCTGGGCTTCGTGCCAAATTTTAAGCATAATAAATTGCAATGCCAAGGTTCACCACTAGATGTTGTTAACATCCATCTTCCAGCTTTTAAGTCCAAACCTATTTCACCAACTGTTCAAATATCTTTTCAAAAAGAAAGTCTTAAAAATACTTCTAGTCCCCAAATTAATCTTGTAGTTTTCTCTAATTTCCCTCCAAAGAAAGTTATTTGCTGCTTCTCTTTTCCTGAGAGAATGGGGCGGAAATTCCCCTTCTCTCTATCATTTGGGGGATTCTTTGCTTTGGGAATTCTTTTTTCCAGGAAGAGGCTTTAAAATTATAAAGAGAGGATTGTTCTCACCCAATTCTATCCATGTTGTTCAGAAGTTGCTAGTTAGTGCTTATCTTGGGTTATCGATGGCTTCTGGCTGGTTTCTTCTGCTGGTTTGAAGGGCTTCCTTGGATCAAATGGAAAGGCCATGGCCCCTCTGCAATCTATGAGGGTCCCCTTCTTCGTTGTCTCTCCAGGGCGACTTTAGACCCTTTTTGGGGTCCCCAGCAGAGTGAAATCGGACATGGAAAACGGAACCTCATTTTCCTGCGCCCGTTACACCACGACGTCTAACCCGGAACAACTTTGATATAATTCATAATACCTTACTCTTTACCAAGTTCCACATACTTATTATGCTGACTTTTTTTCTGGGTATACATTATTTTTATTATAATAAATCTTTCTATTTATTTTTCTCTCCTATGATCTATGGCCATTTACAAAAACAAATTAAAAATGCAAAGTCCCCATGTTCGGCTAAGGAATGCAAAGAAAAACAAATCGTATTGGTTCAGAATTACAAATGTTAATGTGTAATCTTCTATCGGGATATATCATGTATTTTAAAATTTGCTTTACACAAGATTGTTTCCTAAACCGTAGAAGGGGAGGAAATCAGTCTCTGAGCTTTTTAGCACATGGAGAATCACATAAATGACCAATCCTTTGTACAAGCTAAACCCCTAAAGGTACAAAAGAGAATGTCAAAGCAAAGGCAGAATGGTTCATCTTAATATCCAACTGTACAGATATGGTTGGGTTTATTTTTACTTTATTTTATTTACTTTATTCTAGAAATATTCTAATTGTTACTGTAAACTGCCCAGAGTCACTTAGGTGAGATTGGCGGTGTAAAAATGTGATAAATAAAATATTCAGTTGTGTCTATGATCAATCACATCAACTGTTGTAAATGAAAGCTCAGAAACACACTTTCCTCCCCATCTAATATTTGTAGACATTAAAGCTGGTGATTAACCATCTTTTAAACTACATGGCAGCCATTCAATGACTTCTTAAGGATTAGAAACCCCAGTGACTCTGAGTAAGAAGCTTAGTAATGTGGGCTTCAGGTTTCTTGCTGCTACAAATCCCAAAATTGTGCTGAGGAATGCAAGATTCTTCTGAGCTCCGGTCAAATCTCAACCTCTTAAAATTAAGTTCTTACTTCTTTATTTACAGTGGTATGTACATTGCTTACTCAAGCAAATCTAGGTAGTTTACAAGAGCAAGATATCCATAAAATCCAAATATTAAATATCTTTTTAACAAAAATTGGTGCTGTGGCTTCCAAACTCAAAATATTTTCAGCTGCTTCCTAATGTATAAAATGATGGAGGCAAGCCTAAACCCAGAGAATAAAGTGTCTCACAATTAGTAGCCCACCACTGAGATTGCTGTTTTTGGGGGGTTCCTACACCTCTGATCTCTCAAAGGGGAAGGTACCCATTGCATCTTCTCACAGCCAAAGTATGATGGGCAAATTTAACCTGGAGAAGATAGTCCCAAAGGGAACAAGGGGACAAGCCCACTCTCAGAATGAGTGCTAATAGTTCTAGCTAATAGGTTGACTGTGGTTTGGCAAATCAAACTTGGAATATTTTAGCTCTTGATTTCAATTTATTTTAACTGTTGCATTCAATTTATTTTGACTTTTGCATTTATTTCATTTGAAGTAGAAATTGCTAATTTAAAAATGCACAGTTCAATGCACTCTGCAAATATATGATCCCCGACTCCTCTAATTTAAATTAGCTAGGATTCTAAAATGAACAGGAATTTGAAAAATGAAAACAGTATTACTTACTTCTTCTGACTGACTGGTTTTCCTCCTCTTTCCTGAACCATCCAGATCTTTCTCTTTTTTATCCTAAGCAGAAGAGAGATAATTCTGAGCTCCCACTGTCTCTATATCAGATTTTATATTTTGATAATGTTATTATTCCTGTTTTTCCCATCTGAGAACAACCTGAGGACTTCTTTCTGAAGTGAGACAGTGTGTCTGCAACTTTTTAGTTCAGCCTATTCAATGATCCACTACAACCTCAATTGGAAAAACTAGGACAATGTGCCCTGATTTGATCACAGGTAGTCCTCAACTTACAACTTAACTGAGTCTGGAATTATGGTCATATGTCACTGCAGTCGTAAGTCGAGGCATCAGATGACCAAACTCTATTTTTTGTTCATTAAGCAAACAACCATGGTTGTAAAGCAGATGCTGCGATTGTTAAGTGAATCAATTTTCCCCACAGGGCAGTTTTTGCCAGAAAACGGAAATAAATACTGGAAGCTGGCAAAAACATTGCAACTACACTTTAGGGGGGTCTGCCTGTCAAGCTCAAAGCTTGACATAGTCATCATGTGACCATGGGATGCTGCAGTTATAAAAGTGAGCTGGTTGCCAAGTGCCCAAAATTCAATCATATGCTGTGTGTGTGTTTGTGTATGTGTGTGTTAACTTTGAAAACAAGTCATAAGTAGTTGGGGGGAGTCCATTGTAACTTTGAACAATTACTAAGTGACTGGTCATAAGTCAAGGAGTACCTGCAGTCATCCATGCAACAACCTTTCAGAGTTGATGCCCTATACATCTTGGGAACTGCATTATCTCTGAAAGACATCCATGCCTATGGCATCAGATGATTTAACTGTCTCTTGATACTATTACATATTATTATATGTATAATAATATTACACATATATATAAGTATCTGTTATAAATCTGTTTGTAATTCAGAGACCACAGGTGTTTCCATTCGAAATTTCTACTTCAGTTCAAATAAGGGCCACCAGGAACCGACTCTTTTGCATACAAACTTTTAGCACCCATTTGCAAGGCTACTTTTTCTTGATTTTCAGATATTACTGATTATCTATATGAAGCATACCTTTTACACTCATTCCACTTACTGTACATTAGCAAAGTAACCAAGTAAATAATGACAATCTTTCAGAGCAAAATAGATAAAATGAATTTTTATAGATGTGCAGACTCTAAAAAAAGCCAGTGAATGACCATCATAGTCATCATTCTAGTAGATAAACACTGTCAGCACCAGTGACTCAGAGCTTCTCTAACTTCCATTCAGTTGATTTTGGATACACTGGATATTTTAGTTTGGACTTCACCCTCAAACTTCGAGCAAAATCTATTATTTCTAAAATTATTTCCAACACTGAGAAAATTATGACCAATTGGTTCATTTGCATAATTACTCAATGCAAATAATATAAATTTGGATTTAACAGATGTTCCTTCAAGTGGGCTATTAAATTACAACATTATGGAGATTTACCTTTATTTCAAAAAACATTGTTATTACCTTTGGTGTCCGTTTCCGTGAAATGGTCTGTCCCAACTTGCTTAGGAAGGAAATTGGTGATTTGGTGTTAGTAATTAAAGCAGCTTTTTCTTCTGCATTCAATTCCAGATTATCTATAAAAATAAGTAAAAAAAATCAATGGAGCCATCACAAAATCAGAAATCTCCCAAAGTTGGGACTTTGATGTTGGCTCTTTGTGACACAAGTATAGCTATTTCTACTGTCTACATTCGATTGCAAACCATAAAACCTAATCCTCTATTTAATCTTTTTTCCATTCTAGGAATTGATTTTTATTCTGATCATTTAAGATCCATAATAGGACAATATTTGTTTCCCTCAAGTAGAGAGGAGAGCATGACAGTGGGGACGCTTAACAAGGAAGGTATTATTTTTTAAACATATTTATATATTCTTTATCTCCAAAGTTAAAATACAAGATATTATTTTTCTGTGATCAATTTATTTTCATATCCTTACTGAAAAATTACTTTAGCTTTGGCAACACAACTACATTTTCAGATAGTGTTGCTACAATCCATTTGGTTAGGTCATATAAGGTACATGTTTTTCACTACAACCTGTTATTCAGACTTGCTCTAACAGAAGGTCTTCAACTTTCTTCCTCTAGAACAGGCATGTCAAATTGACGGCCCGCGGGCTGGATGCCTCATACTGAAACTGCACCCACACCATTGCTGGCAATAGGGAAAAAGTCGCGATATGTCACACGACGTCACGTGACATTGCGAGTTTGACATGCCTGCTCTAGAAGTTCCTACTTCTATTAAGGTCACATTTTTGCCTTTAATATTAAATAGAAACAGAACCAGTTTGAACATTTTTGCATAATTCATCAGCAATGTAAAAATATCACAAAAGTAAAGAGCTAATCTTAATGGGAAGACACTATGACTGTGACAGTAGCAGACAGATCAACCTTCTGTCTCATCACCTCAGAAATAATTCAGTCCAGAACGCTTCACAAAATAATGTCTTGTGAGAACAGTTGGGATTCCAGTTTGCTATATTGTATTCACTATCTTAATATGGGAAAAAAGTTAGGCACAGAAAACATTCTCTTTCAGCATCAAAAGAAAATAAATTTTCTTCTGGAATAGAACAAGGGCAATCAATTCTATATTGCAACTTTCAAAGATTGTAGTAGATTCATAATATGTATCTTACCATTGGAAGGAAGAGAGTCCTTGAACATCTCATAAAATTGGGTGAGATACATGACCATGGACAACTTGTCTGGTTCACTAACTGATGCCATATCTCTGCCTGTCATGATGGGGGATATTCCAAGCTCTTTCTCAGCAACATCAAATGCTAGCTGATTATTCTTCTCGACATTGTATTCATCCAGAGAATCAAAATCTCTGGAAGAGAAAAATACATTTTCTAAATTATAACAAAAACTCTATCTACTATTGCTTAGGAAAATATAAACACCCCCTCAATTGCCTGACTGAATTTCTTCAAATAGCCATTCACAAGCAAATCCTATTGCTTACATCAAGTCTGGACGAAATCGATGAATAATAGCACACAGTGCTAGGCCACTCTTCCATGACGTTGTAAGATCTGTTATGTTCACACCAGCATATCCATCTGTCTGCCTCTGACACCAGCCCAGAAGTTTGCTAGAACGGGCCACAGACTCTGAAATAAACATTGTGATGCAGTATTTTAGTTTTTGATGTGACTATGCAAGTACTAGTATTCTCAATCATTTTGGTGGACAAAGGCCAGTTGTAATATTTGGGCAGGGAACTAAGAAACACAAAATAGCTGAGGTATGTGCACAGGGTTTGGGAAGGAATTTGACAATTGTCTTTCTTTTTTAAAAAAAAAACTATTTCTGTTTCCCAACTCAAAATGGCCCAAGAATTGTGACACCAGTCTTCAACAATCATGCTTAGGAGGGATAGCTTGGGCACTGAAAATGGAATTCAAGGCAACATGAAACCCCAGGGCTGTGGGCTGTCCATCCCCATTATAAATCAAATTTATTCTAACTAGTGCTCTTCATATATATTGGACTAGAGACTAAAGAATTTCATGCCAATATTGTATAACTAAAGTGCATGTTGGCCAAGAATTCTGAAGGCTGTAACTCAACACTTAATGGGGCATTGCATTAGGAAAGATTGTTTATAAACTCAGAGTTACATCACTCACAAAATACCAATTTCCTGGTTTTAATAGCATGGCAAAACCCTCTGTTTCTCTGCTTTTAATGCACACAGAGCACTAAGGAAAATGTTTTTATTCTCATTCCTATCCATAAGAATGTAAGTGTACATAAGTGAATACCAAGTATATTTATAAGAGCCTGAGGGTCAAAGAGATCACTAATGGCTACAACACAGCTTAAGTAAATATCCAGCCAATATTCTCTTAATGCACTATTTGAAAATGGCAGCTGGCATGGAGTCCAATTTCAAATTTCCAGGAAGGGAAGGAAAAAAAGACAGTAACAAACGAATACATGGAACGACTTACCATTCCGTGATAACTTTGGTGTCCTAGAATTCATCAAATTTTCTATCTCCAGATGAATATCCTTCAAGTCTCCTGTATCATACAAATGACGTACCTGCAGCAATCCAAAAAGAGTGCACGTATCACATCAAATGTCAAGATAACAACAAAGCAATTAATTGTTCATTGGCCGAAGAGTAGGCAAACTGTATTAAGTATCTGCAGAAAACTCACTTCTAATATAGCACAGGAAGCCAGAAAGATTGATGGCTAATTACTCTTGCTTGGAATGATAGCTATACTTAATTTTAATGCATTTGAACATTGCATATTGTCTAAAAACTATCCTAAACTGTTTCCACATTTGCCTTTATAAGACACCCCAGGATTCACTGAGATCTCCCATCTAATTGTTTAATAGGACCAATGATGTTCCTCCTCCAAATCTGGATTAGGGTAGCCAGTGGCTACCACTTGTTTATACCTTTTATGGAATAAAGATTACCCAAAATATCTGCCCATATAATTGTGAAATTATTTCCTTTTCCAATAGACTTTTTGTTTTAATTATTTGGACAGGCATATAAAATAAACAATTGTTTCTATTATTTAATATCCTTCCATGGACAGAAATGAACATAACTACTCAAAGTCAAAAGTGATACCAAGACTTCTTTTGTGACCAGCTTTGATTTATTCTGTTCGGTTGCTGCAGCTGACATGTTATACTGTAGCACTTCAGTGCTGTATTTATATTACTTTAATGCTGCTTCTTCAACTGGTTGCATAAGTTATCCATATATCCTGGAACATCACAGGACAGAACCAATTACCTGGCTTGGCCTTAGGAAATTGATATTGATGTTGGGATATCGAGTGACAGGATCAATGCTGTATTGGCTGAAGTTCTTGCTGACATTCTCCGGTGTAGTTTGAGGCAGCAACCTATAGATGCTCTCTCTAGGAAAAATAGGACAAAGATGCCAGGTTTAGTGATATAAAAAACATTGACAGACATGACTTCACCTCTAAGAGCAAAACGGCTATGTTCTACTGGGAGGATGGCATCTACTGTTGTGTCCCAACTACAGGTAGTCCTTGACTTACAATCATTAATTCTGCGCCCATTCAAAGTTAAAAATGGCACTGTAAAAAGTGACTTATGACCGTTTTTCACACTTATGACCATGGCAGCACTGCCCATGTTCACATGATCAAAATTCAGATACTTGGCAACTCGTTCGTATTTATGACGGTTGCAGTGTCCCAGGGTCATGTGATCACCTTTTGCAACTTTCTGACAAGCAAAATCAATGGGGAAGCCAGATTCACTAAACAACAGTGTTACTAACTTAACAACTGCAGTGATTCTTTTAACAACTGTGGCAAGAAAGGTGACAAAATGGGGCAAAATGCACTTAGCAACTGTCTTGCTTAGCAACAGAAATCTGGGGCTCAATTGTGGTCATAAATCATGTATTTCTGTCAAATACTTTTCCGCATCTAGGATAATTGCCTGATCCATACTCAGACAGCTTAAAGCTAGCATTTATATTTTCAAATTAATGAAACAGGGCCTTTTCTGAATCTTCCATATTGCAAGAGACTTCTGTGTTTAACTGAGCTGGTTGGTTGGGTAAGCAGAGAAAGGAACTCCTCTTCAGAGGCAAGTATAATAGAGAAAAAGTCATCTTGATTATGGTCACTGACTGCCAGTAAAGTATATACCAACGGATTTATTTATTTTTTTTGCCATGCAAAAATAAGTAAAATGGTGTCTGACAAACTGCACATTTCATGCAGTCTTCAAACCAGGACAGTGCTTTGGGTCTGTTGAGAGGAACCAAATGCAATGAGAAAACTCAAAAAGGTGAGTGACGCTAGGCTGGAATATTTAAGGGAGTTAAACAAGAGAAAAAAAGGCAGTATTAATGAGCATTATGTTGTTAATTCTTTTATGAAATGAAACTTAAGGGGAGCAGGAAATAATTAATATTTAGCAAAAAGACATCCAGGTTTTTGTACTGCCATCATTTTTCCATATTTTACCATCTCCTCCAATGTACAAAAAGTGAAGTTAATAATGCTATTGTTTAATGAAAGAAAAATGCATATTGGAAAAGAATAGGTTTTAATTACACTGCTGTTTACCTCAAACTTTTTAAGACAGGTAAGTGTACTGTACAATAGCTCATTTTCAAATGATCAGTTCCTGTAATTCTGAAAGGCTGCTGTATTCAATGCCATTTTAACAATGCCACTTAAATATAGGTTTCAGTTATTTCAATCCATCCTGACTCATATGAACTACAACCTTGATTATGGTGTCTTACAATATTCTTGATCAACCTGTCTAGACAAATCTTCCGTGTCCTTTTTACATATCCCACTGAGTTAAATAATTCACTAAAACTGCCATTTTAAAAATGGCATTTTTAAAAATCACGAAACACAGACTTACTTTTGTGCAGGTATATATATATATATAAGATTAAACTAGATGTCTATGCTCACACCATACACAAACTAAGCTAAAGGGGTTGAATAATTTCTCGTTCATATGTTGTGATAACCTAAACATTGTTTTGCAAGTTGAAACAACCATGTCATTAAACTTTATATCGTTCGTTTTGGGCTTAGTGTTATGTGAACATAGCAATCGTGTTTTTTAACCTGAGTTTTGGGTTTAAGAATGTTGCCAATTAGAAGCATAATTAGGCAACTTTCCCTGTGTCCACCCGATTATGTTCAGATAGTTAAGTTTAAGCCATCTTTTACCCCATGCACAAAGAGAAAAGTGTGTTATTCTTTGCTAAACTATTGTAACTGAATACAGAAAATGACAAGTATCTCCGGATAACACATAGACTAGCACAGGGACAAATAAGAGGGCACAGAATTGACATATAGGAAAATGCTAATAAATGCACATACACTACATATTTGATGAGCCCGAAGTTGCATACTCTTAGATATACAGCAGATACCTTTTAGATACATTTCCTGCTTATGACAGCATACACATGGATGTACAAACATGCAGACAGAGAAATAGACATTTCGTTACCTTTCTGCAAGGACCTCCAAAGGACTTGTTCCTAGGGACCAGCTTCGTACCATCCAGGCAGAGTCCATGGCAGCAAGAAAGCCCCTGGCTATTCCAGTTCCCATTGGCCAAAATGGCTGGAAGCAAACATAAAAAGGGGTTGGGAGGAATACGAGAAGGAAAAACATATTCCTTTGCACGTACACTGCAAAACTACTTCAAAACCCCAAGGGATCTGTAGGACAAGATCAGATGGGACTGCTAGAGATCACTCAAAGTCCTGGAATAATTTCCTGAAGTCCAATATTTACATTGTGAACAGCCTCGTTTAATGCCAAATTAAAGACTCTATATCAGTGATGGCGAACCTTTTAGAGATCGAGCGCCCAAACTTCAACCCAAAACCCACTTATGTATTGCCGGGTGTCAGGTGAGCATGGCCCGCTGGGTGGGCGTGGCTACAGTGGTCATGGCAGACATGTGGGCGTGGCCAGAGTGGGCATGGCCAGCTCGATGTTGCTCCTGGGGAGGGACGCCTGTGGGAGCTGGGCAGGGTTGGGGGAGATCCAGGGGTCTCTGGTGGGTGGGGTAGTGGGCAGGAGGCTGGTTCTGCGGGGTGAGGCGAAGCAGGGCGGGGGTGCCATGTTGCAGGGCAAGACGAGGCAGGGGCCGGGGCGGCTGCTGCCTGACACCATCAGCCCCCGCACACAAAGGCCAGCAAGCGCATGGGTGCTGGGATGCATCCGGCCACGTGGGACCTCGGCACGTTAGTGGGTGGCTGGTTGAAGAGGACGGTTGCCATCTCCGGGGCATGGCGCGCGTGCCCACAGAGAGGGCTCCGAGTGCTGCCTCTGGCACGCGTGCCATAGGTTCACCACCACTGCTCTATATAACCATGTTTTTCATACCAATGGAATATCAAGTAGAGGACTACTTCTAATGGGGCCTTGTGCCCTAATGGGCCTTGTGTTTAAAATGTCAGAAATTCATGTCACTCCTTTATACGCTGAAATCAAAGTTACAACAAAACTATCTGTATTTCTTGGGCAAAAAAGATTTTACAGAAGCAGAATGACTAAGCTAGACCATACAGAAGAACAGTTTAAATGATAATTCAGTTCATAAGTGGGTAGCTAGGCTGCTGGAATCTATCTCCACATTCACTTTCATTTATTTTCCTTAAAAACATTATTTTCATTATTTTCTGCATTTTTTTAAAATCCTAGACTGGAAAACTTGAATAAAACTCAGTTTGCTTCCATTTTAAGTCCTTCAGGAAACGATCTACACATTTCTCCTCAGGAAAAAAGCCTATGATGGTACTTTGAAATGGTACCAGTTTTCCATTTTAGTAGTAAAGTGAGAATAAATATTAAAAGAAAAGAAAAAAGGAAATAGAACAAGAAAAAAAGAAACAGTTCAAGTAAGACATGTGGAGGACAAACCTCCAACAAGCTGTCCCCGACCAATGCCACAAGTAACTGGTGGCCATTCAATTCTCGAACGATGGCTGCATTCTCTGAGGCATACATGCACGTGAAGTCAAACATTGCAACGTCGGGCTGTCCATAGTGGTTGATGGCAAAGTCCAGCGATGGCAGCTGCTGATTAGTTGAGAAGTCAGCAGCTTCTCTGGCATAGCTGAGCAGAGCCTCCTGGTCCACATTTTCTCGTGACAGTAACAGTTCTGTATCTGCATAATCCTGCCAGGCAAAATAAAAATGAACTATGAGCTATGCACTGAAGATACAGTACAGGAGCTATGTACTGAATATCTCAGGGGAGGCCACAAACAAGAGGGAGTCAAGCTATTCTCCAAGGCGCCTGAAGGCAGGACAAGGAGCAACGGATAGAAACTGATCAAGGAGAGAAGCAACCTAGAACTAAGGAGAAACTTCCTGACAGTTAGAACAATTAACCAGTGGAACAACCTGCCTCCAGAAGTGGTGAATGCTCCAACACTGGAAGTTTTTAAGAAGAGACTGGACAGCCGTTTGTCTGAAATGGTGTAGGGTTCCTGCCTGGGCAGGGGGTTGGACTCGATGACCTCC